ACCCTATGGCCGGATCTCTGAGGTGGCTCTGAAGCTTTGGCCAGATCGAGGCAGAAACCCGGTCCAGAGCTCCGGATCTGATCACTGCCATCCGGAGCGGCCGGATCTGAACCCAGATCGGATTGCTGCTGACTCGCACAGGCCTACGTCTTACTCCCCAAGACATGACAAACTCTGCAACTGTCCTCGCCTTCTGGTCTATTTGCACAGATTTTACTGCTATAAAGTATCACTTGTAACATATAACAAAGTCAGTCAGCTAGTTAGTTGATGTATATATTTAAAGAAAACTAGAAGGCATTCATCCTTGCTTTATAGCAAAACTATTATGTAACAGCATTTTTTAACCTTCAGTTAGACTTTTCCATTTTTTTTATAACAAGGTATTAATATACTTGTAATTTAACACATCTTCTCCTTATGGGACTTATTAGCAGTTTAACTTAACACATGGGTGCACAAACTCAACAGATAAGATGACAGAAATTACAAGTATTGTATGCTTAAGAAAATAATCTAGATGAATGATGAAAGATGTCAGAGAACTGCTAGACCACATCAAACAATGAAAACACTACCGGAGACAAGCTATTTAAATATTAAATAAATATCTAGAATTACTGAAGAAAGTTGAATAGCAGATGTAATGGAATGTTATTTTTTCTAACTTATTAATACTGTAATTATGGACTCTGCACCCCTGCTAAAAAGACCATTTGTCTTAGACTGGATATTTCACTAGTTTTTGTTTTTTTCCTGCACTAAATTACAGTTATTACCTTTAAGTGGTAAGCTAGAACTTGTTTCAGGCATAGTTAAGATGCTTATAGAATGATTAAATACTGGGGTTTTTTATCTCTGGTTTATAACTGTCTTTTTAGAATAATGTATATGTTCTGCTGATAAATTAATTGATGTCACACAGCATGGTTGATTTTTAGAGGAAAAAATCTGTTTAGGGACATTTTAATTAGTTTCAGGAAATGACTCTGCAATATTTTGAAGATTACTTGAAAATCTGCCTTGTAGTAGTGAGCTCTTCTGCACGGTATTCATACGGTGCAAGGGAAACATTTGTCAGACACCCCCTTACCACTTCTAAGGAATGACTCAAACATTTATGGCTAATTAACAATTTGTTCTTGGAGAGACTTATTTTCTGAAATCAATCTTGCTAGGTGGCATTAGTTAATTTATCAACCAAACATTTACATTAGACTAAAAAGGCAGTTATAAAAATACAGACACATACCCAGGTGTATGTGTCTGTGCACATGCATGTGTGCAGAGACACATGCATACACTTTCACATAAATAAAAATATATAGAGAAGTATATGTACACAAAGAATACAAAAAGAATAAACTAGAAGCATAATTACTTACATGTTTGAAATGGCTAATGAAGCCAGTCAAAGTATGTTAATGAAAGTTAGCAGCTAGGACAAAATTACTGTATCAGGGTTGTCAGAGAGACAGCAAAAGCACATTCTATAGAGAGCTAATGGCCTATAGAATTGCTGTATGTATATAGTTATTGAAGCAAAGCTTCAGGATTCCTACCTGCAACAACATTAGTCAATTTTAATTGCACTTCTGCTACTTGGCTACACTAGCAAGCCATAATTTTTTCCAAATTATTATGTGGCACTGAATCATTTAGCTTTAAGAATAAATACAGGTATTTGTACATGACAGTTGAGTGTTCAACATTTAAAAGTAAACATTTGTTTAAAAATACCACACCATGCAAACTAATGCCACAGGGATTTCTTTTTCTACATAAAGGAAATATTGAGATCTCAAATACAGTGTGGTATCAGATAGTAATTTTCTAATTTTTAAATCAAACCAATATTGAAAGTGTAGCAGGAACTGAACTAATGTAGCTGATGTTAACATAGAGTGTAATAAAAGGGAAATGTAACCGTGTTAGTCTTGTCCTGTAAGCAACTTAAACTCCATTTTGTATCCTTCTGCTTGACATAGTGAATGAATTCTGCATAGCCTTTGTGTATGAGTAGGTATAAAAGGGCGAATGGTGACAGAATAGCATAGAGATGGAAGAAGAAGATTTAACTGTTTATGTAAGCAACACGGCACCAAATGTAAGTTACCAGTCAGTAAACTAATTAATAAATGGCTGAAGAATCCTTTTCAGGCCTACGACACAAAGATAACAAGGAGAAGGAATGCACCCATCCTACTAGATGGGCAGCAAGAACACTCCAAGGCTGAGAATACAACCGCAAAAACAGAAGCTGGGTATGGAAAAGCCCCAAAGCACTGAGACAAAGGATACCAAATCCCTATAAAAGAAGACTTTAAAAATGCTGGGTGAAGTCTGTCTTTCAACTGCTGTTTTGTCAGAGCACAGACATGTCTGTTTCACCCCACTCCAAGCTGTTATCTACAGGATCTCTTTCTCTCTCTCTCATAATAACCACCCTACCTGCACCTTCTCTCAATAAGGCCGGGGCCGGCCACCAAGTGCTGTTATAGAACAACTGCTGCTGGTAACTATAATATCTGAATGGTTGTTTTGTGTTTGTGTGTGCCTGTGTGTAAGTTTTCTGCATGATGATTTGTGTGCATCTATACGAGTAGTGTGTTCAAACCTCTAATTCATGTAATCAATAAATGCAGCATTTTGCCTTATCTCCCTCTATAAGGTCTCACTTGTGATTTGAGCAATTGGCAATTTGTGTAACAAAAGGAAATCCAACATTAACATTTTCTTATAAGTAAATGCATGTAATGGACTTGTTTTCTTTCTTTTTTGTGGGTTTTTCCCCACAAATGGGAATTTAGTATCTGAGAACAGATTTTTATATTTAGCATTCAACTAGATTTTTGTAGTTTAGCTTCTATTCACTTACAGCACTGCAAGCTATCATCTTAAACATTGGCATTTACTATATAATCCATACAGCAAACACTGAGATTCAATGGCACCCTGCACATTATCTTGCTTTGTTGCTCCTTTGCAGCTTCCACTCTTGCCTTGGCTTTCTGCAATCTCTCAGTGGTATTTTGAAAAAAAATTGACTCTATAAACTTCTTCTCTGCCAAGCTTTGTTTTTGTAACATTGATTTCCTGGAAGAAACAAAGGAAGACATTTAAGTCTTATTCGCATAATTTACAGCAATTCAGATCAGCTGGGCAAACTTTGAGAACTTCTTTGTCTTTAAGAGTTAGGCTCTTACATATGGCACTCTTTTTTAATATAAAACTTATAAATGTGTGTAGTTTCTCTCTTTATTATTATATAACTTTTTTTACCCAAGTAAGCAAACCTTATATGCATGCTTTTTCTGCTTTCCACCACAAATGTTTACAATGAAAATTCAGTTATTTTTTTATCCTAACTGTTGTTAGTATCACCTGGTTGTATTCTGCTTTTTTTTTTGCAAAGTATTTTGGTTGTGAATATCTTTGAGTAGGAGGACGTGGGCTAATTAAATTCACTTTAATGGTCATCTCCTGAATCTGGAATCTGACATATTACAGCAGCCACCCTCTTTTTTTCAACTCTTTCCTACAGAAGAAAAATGTTATATATTTAAACAAACTAAAGGAACAGATTATACTTCTTCCATGTGAAGTTCTCTTGCAGTGCCAAGCTGTGAACCTCAGAAATGAACTAACTTTAGATTGTCCTGGGGTTAAACCCAGTCTAGTGAATACCCATACATGAAAGCCCAGCCATTCAACCAACCCTGGGGGCTGTGTTATTCCTACCTCCTGGACCAGACCTTGACTGAGCTATTTTTAGCCCCACAACTATCCTCCCCCACCACGTTGATCTACCAACACCCCCCTGGACCCACCAGCCTCCAACCTGCTGCCCTTTCCACCCATGGACCCACAAGCTCCCCCAATCCTCCCAGGCCTTCCCCCCCCACCCAGAGGTACTTACCTTGGGCTACCTGCACCACTCCTGGCAGTGGCAAACACCTGCATATGCCACTCCCACTTAATTTAAGCCACTTAAACTTAATACAGATCCCACAAATGCCTGTTCATGCCCAAAGACCAGAGGACAGCACTGTTTGGCTGTCACAGAACGTTATGACAGGACAGACTGAGGATCATCCCCAAAATGACCATAAAGTGGATAAGAACACTTCAGCTGACAGAAACTATGACTTTCTTATTTGCCGATAGGAACAGTAACTGGGATTACAGTGCAACATCATCCACTGCCTAGGCACAGGTTGTGCTGGGTACTGGATTTCAACATATGAACACCACCTAAACCACTGGGACCAACCTTTTGCCACAGGTGTGCCGTGAGTTAAACCCCACACCCTCCCTGAGTGCCACTCCAATCCCCTTCCCCTGTCCAATCTATTCTGTGTTCTGCTGTGCACTCCCTGACCAATCTGTCGCTGTGCATTATGTTCCCTGTCTGATCTGTTGCTGTGTCCCCCACTCCCTTCCTGATCTGTCATGTGCCACACACACAAGGTTGCCCATGCCACTTGTGGTACCTGTGCCTCAGGTTGACCACGCCTAACCCAAACAAATCCTCCAGTTACCTCCAGACTGAGTTAAGTGGGCTTTTCTGAGATTTATCTACTAGCCTTTCTCCACAGAAGGAAAGAAATAATTATTCAGACCACTGAGGTCCTTCAAGTTCTTTGTTCTTCTTGCCTCAAGTGCATGTTCTCAGATTAGGTTCAAGGGACAGGGTTCCCTTAAAGAAAGAAGTTAAAGATGTTCTTAAAGCTTTTCTTTATTTTGTGTTCCTCCTTCTATTTTATAGGAACTCTTTATTTACAGTACTGTAATCCAACTTTCGATCAATTTGTGAGACTGTTTTAGTGTGACAACACAAAAATGCAAAACATTGGAAGCTCATAGTATTCCAATGAGCACAAGTATCTTAGTCATATCTGCATGCTACATTCATATTCACAATGCTAACAACTAAGAAACAACATACCTCTGCTCCTGAAGACTTTTAATCAACTCCTTACATTTTTTCACTTTTTCTTTACATTCTGTAACAATTCTCTCTTTCTCCTTTACAGATTCCTTGCATTTCTTCATTCTGTCTAGTTTTGAGAAACTCTGTGTCAAGGCAACATGCTGAGTGCTGAACTCTTGAACAAATGAATACTCTGATGCTTTTTGTTTCTTTTTTTCTAAAAACTGAGCATGCCCCTCCCTAACATCTTCAATATATTTTGATCTTCTTACTTCACGCTGTCGTAAAGCTCCTTGAATTCTTTTATCATCTTCTTTGCACCTTATTTGAGCACCATGTTTTTTCTCCCTAAGAAATCCTTCAACATTGTGCTTAACTTTGTCTTTAGCATTCTTCATCTGCATAACCCTAAATTCTTTTCTAGTTTGGATGTCATGTTGCTTACTCTCCTTATAAAATGTATCAATATCATAAAGTGGTCCACGCATTCCAGATCCATACATTTTAGCAAAAATCCTCTTCTCTATCCTGCTTGGGCAATGCATCGCTTTACTCTGGCAATTAGGATGAATACCCGAATGAAATCCATGTACAGCATGCCAAATTTCTTCTCCTTGCTTTTGAAATAATGGAAGTTTAGCCCTCACTGGATAAAAAATTGCTCTACCTACTGAGAGCTTAAATTTATTTTCTACCTGCTCCTCCATATTTGGTTTCTCCATGTCCAAGGAACCTACAAAATAAAGGATAAAATATTAAAGCTAGGATGTAATTTAATTAAAAATATTATTGGTCTTAATATTTCAGTATTTTATTAGAATTTAATGTCTGCTGGTAAGAATGCCGTACTGAAATCTTATTAGATTGAATTAAACACCATAATTCTTTGAAATTAGACTAAAACCTTCTTGTCTATCTGGGACTGCTCTAATATCTACCAGAGTTTGCTTATTTATCATACTTCAAGGTAAAAAATGCCTTAGAATAAAAGCCTAATAAGAACATTTTATTGGAGTCAAAATCGCCATGCAAAAATTTTTAAAAAGTATTTAATAAACTACGATTCTTTTAGCCCTAATCCAGCTCCCAGTGAACTTGATAGAAGTGTGTCAATCAGCTTCAGAAGTTCTTGGATCAGAAAAATATTCTACTACTCAGCAAAATACCAGTAGTATAAACAATCAGGGAAGCCACCCCAGGTGCTAACTTGGGGTAGTAGGAAGCAGTGCCATTGCAGCTTCACGATCATGCTAGTGGCCACAATCAGAAGTTGTCACTGCCTGTATGAAAACAGCTAATCTTAGTGCCCAGTTGCATCATTACACCCAAGCGAAATACAAATAAAATATTTTCTGAAAGCTTCAAAAGTTCTTATATTTGCTGCTTTTTTAGAGACAGACTTTTAATTGACATTTTAAAATTGCAGCATAAAAATGTAACTTCTTAAGAATACGATTATAAACAACTCCAGTTCCTAATCACTTTTTAAATATATCCCTTGCCTGCATGGTTTAACTATATTTAATTCACAGTATCTCTTAAAACTAAATGTCAGAGTCTTGTGCAAGTTCCTCTATATTCAGGGCCACAACAGATTCTTTCTCCCTATTAAATTCTTAGCATAATGCTTTTCAATCTATTGTTATATGGTTTTATTTATGGGGAACTGTTTACAGCATAGGCATATGCAAGGCTATGAATTATTTTTGCAAAGGATGAAATGCAAAATTAAGCTAGTTTGTCTGTTTATCACAAAAGCCTTCTATTTCAAGCCTGCTACAAAGCCATAAATATTCTTTGTATTGCAAAGCATGATAAAAGAAGATTCAAACAACCATAGCATGCAAAAAAAAATGACAATAACTGTTTCTCATAACTTGAGAGTGCTTTTTGCTCTTGCTGTTTTGTACTTTCTACGGATATCACTTTGGAGGTGGTATGAATAATTCTTCAGGAGCAGGGTCAAAAACAAATTAATAGTCAAAAGTATGGCTGTGTTAAAAAGGAAGTGATTTGCCTTGTGCCAGGTCACAAAGACGGATGTGGCCTGGTGCCAAATTCACAACAGTTTTTACTTAATAAGTTATTGAGTCAAATTAGCTGAATTAATGGAAATGGCACGGTCCTCGTTGAAATTCAGTCTGATCCAAAATACTTTGCTGAACTGCCATCACAGACTTCAGCAGGACTCTTTAACATGTCTTGATCTGTGTTTTATTCAGTTGGAAACCATCTGTATGCACTAGTTCACCAAATGAAGCCAGCTATGTATGTCAGTTTTAATAGGGGTGGTACTACTGCTGCAAATTGCAAGGCCTTGCTTTCCATATACTAGTAGGTTTAAATGTGTATGCCTTCTCCTACCATAGCCCATGTATTCAAGAGGTGATGTCACTTGGTCCTGGTCCCCACCTCTGGAATAATGCTTTATCTGATAGACCACTACCTGGCTAGTAAAAGAAAAAGCCTAAAAGTTCTGCCACTGGCAAAACAGACAACACATTTATGAGGAAAGCCACCCATTAAGGCAGAACATTCAACACGAAATTCTTCCTGACCTCATAGAGAATCAGATCTAATTTCAAATGCCCCCGAGAGGAATGTTTCACAGAACGAGGAAATGAGACAGTAAGGGCATTTATACACATATTTGTCTGCTCCAATGTGCCGGAGATCCGGCACGTCAGAGTAGACTTGATTAATCGAGTTTGCTCTGCACGCGAGCTGAGGTGCCCAGCGCTGCATCATGTGCATTTGCATCAAGGTGAAATGCGCATCAGCGTTAAGAAAATGGTGGTGGTGCACTTTGCAACTAAAACACCTTCACCTTTTAAAAGCACCCCACGCTGCAGTGCAAGCATGGGTACAAATGCCCTACGTCACCAAGGAAGAGCAAAACAACCAGAATTTTAAACAGAAGGAATCAAATAAAAATGAAGTAAAAACACAGAAGAGAATTCAATAGTTGGGAAAGTGGATAAGGAAAATAAAATGGGATTAATATGTAAAAGCTGGAGGGAATCTGCCATGCTTGTTAGTTCCCTTTGCATAAACAAGCAGCGATAACCCCAGCTAATCACACTAGTACAAACAGTTGACAATCTAGGTTACATGAAAGTTTATTATCAATCACGATTGCAATATTGAGACCAGGAAGAGTCTGCTTATGACATGATTTCCAACCCTCCCACCCTTTGAAAGGGTGGCTGGCTTAAAAACAAACCCCAGCTAGGGGCTGCAGCATACATGTTATGGAAGTGCTGTACAAGACTAGCACAATTCTTCCCAAGCCATCCATAGGGCAGTACTTATGTCACACACTGCCCACAGGATCTAGCGACTACATACTGCAATGCAGCTCCAAACAATTGTGCAATATATACAGAATACTTATATTCTTTTTTTCAAACATGGAATTTAATAAGCATTCTCCAAAATCCTTTACACATGATTTCGAATTGCATAAGTGTATCACTGATCAAAGTGAGTTGTTTTAGGAAACGAAGGAAGATTAATTACAAACTCACAATATAGCTTTTTGAATAAGATAAAACCTCTAAAATACCTTAGCATAATGAGAGAGAAGAAAGATATATTACTCCTACAGTGACAACTAAACAAACTGCAACACTATGTGCAGCCCACTTTTTCTGTAGGCAGATAAATATGCATAATAGATGGTATTCTCATTAACAACATAGTGGTGCTATACCTCAGATTAACAATGCTGTACTATAATATAAATTATCTTCATATTATGAATATAAAAATATTCTGAAATGTCTCTTGTGAAGGGTGTGGTCTGCTGAAACAGAGACATTCATTGATTGTAAGGCCGGAAGGGATCTCTGAAGATCATTGGGTTCAGCCCCCTGCACCTGGGTTCAGCCCCCTGCACCAAGCAGGAAAGATAGTGTCTAGGCAGTTACTACTAAATTTTTTATGAACTATAAAATGCTACCAATAGGAATGTTTTACAGATTTGCTGAAGCAATGTTAAGGATCACACTGGCAGTAGTACAAACTGAAAATGTGACATTATCTCCATAATTTATGTTGTACTGTTTCCACGTTGTAGTACATAAAATGGTACATTAGCTTATATACTCCTCTCAGATCTCTATACAGACCATTGGCGCTGAGTAATATGGGGGCTTGAGGACCCTGGCTCACCTCAAGAAGAGGGCTGTTGTGCCCAAACCTGAGGAAATTACAAGCCAAGCAGAAATGGAGAGCAGCTCCTTCTAGGTAAGTCTATGGGGGCAGGAGGACAGGTGATACACTGGGGCAGCAAGGGGAGGCATAGACAATGCATTGAGGGGGATGGGGGCACAGGTAACATGTTGGGGGCGCAGAATAGCACAGGTGACATGGTGGAGAGGGGCAAGGGGGCCAAGGTGATGCAGGCAGGGGGGCATGTGTCTCCTGATTTTTGTGGACCCACAGTGGGATGTGGAGCAAAGGGATGCAGTCAGGCAGGAGCTGCCTCTGCAGCCCAGTGGGCAGGACCCAGTGCAAGAGACAGTGCCATGTCACCATGGCTGACAAGTTGAGGTGCCCCCTGCCTGCTTGGCCGCAGCTGGGGCACAACTCCGCACCAACACCGCTGCTGTGCCTCACCTTGGTGGCCATGGAGGCATGGCACTCCCTCCTATGCTGGGTTCTGTCCACTGGGCTGTGGAGGTGGCTCCTGCCCAGAGCTCGTCCAGCCTGGCTACAGCCCTGTGCCCCACGCTCTGCTGGGAGTGCAGAAATCTCAGGGGGTTCATGCCTGCCACATCACCTATGCCCTCTTCTGCCCCCACACAAATTGCTTATGCCCACACACCTCCCTTCCCCATGTGTGCACCCTGTTCCCCACACACTAGGGGGCAGTGAGCAGCGGGTCAGGAGTGAGGGGCATCAGCAGGGCCAAGAAACTTTCCACATGTCCATAATCTTAGGCAAAAATAAAAGTTGGTGCCTACGCTACAGACAAAGTAGTAAGAAGCATCAAGTGATTTATTAGCCTTTTCCCTTTTTTCTTTTTTTTTCGAGTTGTTAACTCAATCTTATTTTTACACACAAACTGAATTTAACATATGGCTGTAGCCACAGGAGGGATTACTTAGCTGTTTACAGCTCAAATCCATTCCTTTTTATGCATTCCAGGCATATCTACTTTGCTTACTGATTCTAGTTTTAGAACTTTAGGAACTGCAGAGTCAATATGCAATAGTTGCACAGGAACAACAAGTCTGGCAGGTCTAAAAGCAGGCACTGGAGACAAGCTCAGAGCAGCCTCATGGGAGGAAGATCTGGGTCTGAACTGTGCCCATAGAATGAGAAAATGGTGAGATGTGCTTGAACCCCTCAGTTCTGGTACATGCTCCCATAGGACAGTAGACAAGCTCTAAAATGTTCATATTGACTTGCAGTCAACTTAAGGTATCTTATGGTCAGCATTCATAGCTCCACTACAGCATTCATAATGGAAGTACCTATGTGAACAACTTTGATCTGGCCCTACAGATCTACAGTGCTTTTGTGACTTTGTCCAGTAAGATGACATTCTTTATTCTGCTTTCCCGTGTGATCATAACTCATCGTAACTCATCCTGGAGACTGGAAGGAGTGGAGACAGGGGAAAGGCTCCCTGTCTTTTTGAGATTGGGGTTACTCTATTCTTGTGAAGATGGTACAGGGGTCAACTGCTCCCCTCATCCCATAGACTAGGAGGTGAGAAGAGCAGCAGCCACGGCTCCATCTCTTACCAAAAATGGAAAGTCCTTGGTTTCAGGAAGTCCTGCTAGCTTTCCCTTGCCGCCCCTGCCACCCTCCTGAGCAGCAGGGTGGACACATAAAAGCTGGCAGATGGGAGCAAAGCTCCAAGCAAGTCTTCTTGACCCAGGTTCTGGAGCCTTGCCAAGCACTCTCTGCTCTCCCTGCAGTCTTCCAGGTCAGCCTGGAGAAGTGCAAGAAGCAGGGACTATTATGTTGGGAGTGAACTTGGAAGGTTCTCATCATGGGAGAATGCCCTCCTCCTGTCAATCAGCCAATAGGCAGATTGGAGGCAGGGGGCAGTTTCCCAAGCTATATGTGGTAGCTGCTGCTTTTCGGCACCTGTCAAGTGCTAGACAGTCTGCCACCTTCCCAGGCAGTAAAGCAGGCAGGCTGTTTAATTAATGGGCTCCCATAAGAGTGGGAGAGGCCTAGGTAGCAGCCCACTAGGGCTGGAGGAACATCTGTATGGTGCATCTCCCAGGTTATTTTTGTATCAGAAGAAATTCCTTCTAGTAGAAATGAATGTCTGTATGCAGCGTATGGTAGTTTGCCAGAGAACTATGCATGAGCCTAATAAGGATGTGAAAAGTAATAGCCCTGGGTTTTTACATATGGGAGATTAGTTGAAGGGATGCTCTCTCTGCAGTCCCCTATTCTGTTGCTTTAAAACTTGAAGGTCTCCTTCTCCCTATCTGTGAAGCTTCCTAAGCTTCCACAGACAATGTATAATTGTTTCTGGGGAATCCATGCTTTCATCTCTTTTCTCTTACTGACAGTGTATGTAGTCCTACCTCAGCAGAACTCCTACAGTCAATCTTGAAACTTTGCACACAGTGTGCTCTGGAATATTCCTCTCAAGGAAAGCTAACTTTGAACAGCCAATTATAAGGCTCTTGAAGGTACAGGTGAAATGTTGTAAGTAATGAAAATATTACCAAAGAGATAAATACTCTGTCTGGGATCATCAAAAAGAAAGGAAGGAATCAGAATCCTTAGGGCTTGAGGAACAGTATTAGCCAATTTTTTTGTTAAATCTGCTAATGTCAATGCATGTATCGTTTTACTTTAAGTTTACAATATATTCTGTGTTTTTCAATTTGGCAGTGCTCTTTCCCATACTTGTGGCTAGAGTAATTTATTTATGAAAAGCCTAGGACAAACATAACAACAGCCTCTCCCATCATTCTTCTTTATGCCAGCATGTGAGTACATAAGGCAAACAGGCTCACTCCCTTTGGTTCCAGTGCCTGACTCCCATCTTGGCCCAAAGCAGCTCTTATAGTGGAAGTCTAGTTTTGCCTTTCTAGCCCTGGCTATACGAAGCATGCACATTTGCTCTCTGGGGATGGTATCTGGTCAGCACTAGGCATCATGAAAAGTTTGAGCAAACTCAGAGATTGAAGTCTTTGAAGATTTTAATAGTTACAGTTTCTGAACCCTTGACAGAGGGGTTCAGAAATTTTCAAAGGCTTATAAACCTGGTCAAATTTGAGTGCATTTTTATCAAAATAGGAAAACATTCTCTTGGTATAAAGGCAAATCCCACCCCCCCACACACACACATTTCAAATCCTTTATCTAAAGTCTGCGAGTATGAATGCTGTTCAAAAAGAAAGGGAATGAAATTTGTCAAGGCACAGATTTTGCTGTCTGTGTTCTCATTTTCAGAACTGGCTGGACCATTCTGATTCAATTCATGAAACAGGTCGAGAGAGAGAACCAAAATGTAAACTTTCAATCCAATGAGTTAGAGTTTGGCAGAGTTATGAGTAACTGCACACTTAGAACTACCAGCTGTACCTAAAATAAATAACTAAAATGGTTGCTAATGTTCTCCTAGTAGCTTAATTTTATTTATAGTTAGTGTATTTCTTTTTAATTTTATAAAGTACTATAAAAGAATAATGTGACTAACCCTTTCTCAGTGGAATTCGTCGTTCCTCTAGTTTAATTTTTCTCTCTTTTTTTCCCAATGTAGGTAAAATAGAGATAACTGCTTGTTTTTCTCTTCCAAGACATAAAACAGGAAGCTCTTTAAAATTATCCATAGAGAAGACCTGTTAACAAAATACATTTTTGTAATTAGATATACTGCTATATCAAATAAATGAAGATTTGTGGTACTAATATACTATTATTCCTCAAAAGTAAAATACTGTATATATGCACGTAATGTTTTGGGAAAAAATTCCCTTCGCCTGATATTTTGGAGAATTACTACCCCTTTCTTGCAAAAAACATGTCTCCAGGCAGTGTCTCTATACACATGGCTGGCTGGCTACTTGTTCTAACTCCTTATACCTCTGTGCTTCTGGAATAAATCCCAGCTTTTAGACTAAACAACGCTTCAACTCATCATCTGTTACATCAAGATGCCTTCCTCTGCAATTTGTAAATGATGAGGACACCTTATATTTTACTGTATGAGCAAGCAAGTAGTCTCACTAAGAAAGAGTTTATATTTTCATATCTAAGTAAATGCAATACTTGTAAAATATGCTTGACTGCAACTGACTCCCTTTATTTATCAACATGACTGGTACAGTATACACAACATACATTCATTGTCATGTACACATGTTCAACTCTTGACTCAGAGTTTCCAACCTTACAGCACGAGATGGTTTTATTTTGTTCTCACTAATTTCTATTTATTTTTTTTACTGAATCTGAAAACAAAAATGCCAACTTGAACTGACTAAAGTACCATGCATTATAAGGTAGGTATTTCATAATTAGAAACTGAGCTAATAAAGAAACTTAGCTCTCATGCCACAGAAGAACAATCAGATGATAACATTTTCTCTAACTTTTCATATGAGCCAGATTCATCCTGGTGACCTGTACTTAGTTGAAAAGTTTTGGCAATGTGTTACAGAAGCTGAGTTACCCAGTCTCTCAGGCCTAAGATTTTGCAAATCAATCAGTAACTTCTTAAAAAACTAAACCCCTAATTTAGCGCACACAGGCAATGTCTACACAAGACACTGACTACATAGTAGCCCATGACTACTGTGTAGTAGCGATGCATGGCAGGTATCAAATTAACTGCGCAGTAGACTAATTTAGTGAGCAGTAAGCACCTGCATGTGTAGACGGTAATGCTTTACTATGCAGCCAATTAGTCAACTACATGGTAAAGCATCTCATGAAGACGCACCTAATAATTACTATTTTGGGCCAGTACCAAATTAACAATTTTTCAAATGAGCTTTTCAGTATATCCTGTCATTATGTAAAATAGCAAGGTACAGAAATGAAGAAAGAACGCCTGCTGATAGGCACTGAATTTGAAGATACGTATGTATTGAATCACTTAATGGCTCTAGAAATTCTACGTAGAAAGCAGCTTGTCACTTGAGTGCAATGTATACAGAAGTCCTTAGAGGCTTCAAGGCAAACTAGACCACCAGAAGATATACTTGAAATCAATGACTGTTGCATTTTATTCCAAGCCTGAAATGGGTCCTGCGAGTTTACCCTGGCTTGGGAGTCAAGAGATGGCAGTTTTATTGGTTGCTTGGATGTGCCAATATAACTGGCAAAATGCAAAAGGAGACTCTTCAATACTATATTCAAGGTTGGAATCATATTACCTTATATCCAAGTTCACCAAAGTGACTATATTCTTAAGACTTTGTCAAAGATTAGCTTTGCCTTCTTTGTATGACAATAGCTAACAAACAGTAAGTT